TATGAGTGACTCCCAATCTGTAGTACAGTACATTTATCATCACAACACTTCTGTGAGCTAAAGCAATGCTATTAGCAGCACTTTATAGGTGGGGAACAGCCACAAAAAGAGACTATGTGACACATGATGTTTTAGGGCAGAGCAGAGATTTGAACCAAGATCCGCAAAGTACAACACAATCACCCTACCGACTGGACCTCTACTCTTCTGTAATCCTTGCCCCAGCTTCCAAAAATGCTCTCCCTCCCCAGACAGCAAAACACATGGCTGGATGGTGGAGGCTGGTTCAGGCAGGACTGCTACAACAACTCATTTGTAAATGGATATTTTAGACCTTTTATGCTCCTGTTGGTTATGGTAACAATCAGATTCCAAATCCATTAATGCACAAATAATCTTCCAAAATCATCATAATAGAGCATTTCTATCCTGCTGCTAAGACTTACTACACGACTTGTTTTACACGTTGCAGGCAGCCCCCTGAAACATTGCTAATAAAATGTGGCATAAAATTAACCTTCTGTAGTTCACAGGCCAGACTCTCTACTGGTATAGTTGGCAAAGGTCTTTTGAAGTCAGTAGATAAGTCCTACTATTGGAGCCAATGGAGTTATGCCAATCTGGCCTAGGAGGCTGTGTCTACACTGGCCCCTTCTTCGGAATAGCCATGCTAATTTAGAACTTTGGAATAGGGAAATCCGCGGGGGATTTAAATATCCCCCGCGGGATTTAAATAAACATGGCCGCCGCTTTTTTTCCGGCTTGGGGAAAAGCTGGAAAAAAGCGTCCAGACTGGCGCGATCCTCCGGAATAAAGCCCTATTCCGGAGGATCTCTTATTCCTACTTGCAAGGAATAAGGTGTACAGGAGGATCGCGCCAGTCTGGAATGTTTATTTAAATCCCGCGGGGGATATTTAAATCCCCCGCGGATTTCCCTATTCCAAAGTTCTAAATTAGCATGGCTATTCCGAAGAAGGGGCCAGTGTAGACACAGCCGGAGAGTTTAGCCAAGGGAAAAAAACAACCAAAAAACCAAACACACACAAGAAAACAAAAAGCAAATTTCACAGACATAAGCACTTAGGAACAGCCATACTGGGTCAGAGCAAAGGCCGATCTAGCCCAGCAGCCCATCTTCTAACAGTGGCCAATACCAGGTACCCCGGAGGGAATGAACAGAACAGAGAACCACCAAGTGATGCATTCCCTGCCGCCCATCCCAGCTTCTGGCAAACAAAGACTGGAAACACCTTCCCTACTTGTCCTGCCTAATAGCCATTGATGGGCCTAGCTTCCATCAACTGGCCTAGTTCTTTTTTAAAGACAGTTGGGTTGCCAGGTGTCCGGTTTTGAACTGGACAGTCCGGTAATTGAGGGTTCTGTCCAGGAAAATAATTAAGAAAATACCGGACATTTAAAATGCCTGGTATTTTCTAATTAGGTACGTTTTATTATTATCAGGAGTATCAGTACGTAGTTGCGAACTGCCTGGCTGGTCGACACACACACTCTGCGTGAGCGTGTCTACCAGCTAGGCAGTACGCAACTACGCGAGGGGGGAGGGGGGGGCGGGGGGTGAGCCAGGGTGGGATGGAATTCTTGGGGATGGACTTGCTAGTGCTTCGCCAGGACCATGTGCGGGATGGGCAGCGCCCCGGGATCTGTGTGCGCCCGGGTCAGTCCAGCCCCTGCTTCCCACCATCCAGTTCTGCCCCCCTCCTCCTCCTGATCTCCCCCGACCAGCTCTGCT